CACTAAATCGAGAAATCATAATGAACTAAAGAGAGAAAAATATGTATAGAAAAAATATAGAACAAATTAGTGTGAAAATTAGTGGAAAGAGAACCACTTTTATAGTTGTATGAAGTAGAAAAGTTACCAAACCTTTGAGATTCTAGCACCTTTCATACTCAACCATTGAACCTAATTAAATAAAAAAAAAAATCAATTTTAAAATTAATTTATATAAATAAAGTCAAAACTTTTCATATTCTTAACTTTTCATATTTCATTCATTTAATTCATTTTGTGGTGCATTTAAATTTTGTTTCCTCTAAATAAAATTTCAATATTCATAATTTATTTATGATAAATCTTATGAAATTTTTAATTTCTCAATTTAAAAATACAAATATTCTCATATTTTACTTCGTAACAATCTATTTTGTTAACTTTGATATATATAATTTTTATTGCCTAATTATTGGTTTAATTTTTTTCATTATTATTGTAAAATATTTTATTTACTAATTATTTTAAAGATAATTAGTAAATAAAATATTACATAATAGAATAATATTTAAATTTTCTCTTATTCTTAAAAAAATTATTGCAATTTAAACTAATAAATAATAAAAGACAAAACTAAATTTAACTTTGATATATATAATTTTTATTTGCTAATTATTGGTTTAATATTTGCATTATTATTGTAAAATAATATTTCAAACAAAAATTATTACATAATAAAATAATATTTAAATTTTCTCTTATTCTTTCCAAAAAAAAATTTTCTTATCATTTAAACTAATAAAAGACAAAACTAAATTTAGAATGTTATTTTGTTAGAAAATATTATTTTAAATTTATCATATAATTATTAATAAATTTTTAAGTAATTTTAGAGGTATAATAATGTTTCAAAAATTTCGATGATTTGGATTTTAAAAAGAAAAAAAAAAGTTAGATGGTTAAAAAAGATAATCAAAAGTTAATGAGAGAGAAAATTATAATTAAATAAGGGGAGAGGAATGAGAAGTGGAGGGGGAGTCCCAAAGTTTGTATTGAGAGAAAGGGAGGAATGAGAGAGAAAAAAACATGGAGTGGTGGGACCCATAAATGAATGTAAGGGTAAATTGAGTATTATACCAATAATCAAGGTTAAAATTGTCCAATAAAAGTTTCTTCCACAACTTATATTAAGCTATAAAGTATATACGGCTATATCCCTCTACAATTAACAAACAAAGTAAATAACCTAAATAATCAAATATATATGACATCACCTCGAATACTTTTTAAATACTCAAAAATCAAACACCCAAAATCAGAAATAAAAAACAAACCTAGAATATTTAAAACCTAAATGGCATAAAACTGTCTACCGGAAACAATGGTGAAAAGCGAGTGAATTGGAATCGGGTTGCCGAAGACGGTAACGACAAAAAATTGAGAACGCTAAGAAGACAAGGAGACGGTCTATCGGAAACAATGGTGAAAAGCGAGAGAAAAAACAGACGAATTAAGAAGAGGAAGAAATAACTAAAAATTAAGGAAGTTTTGTTAGGGGTGGAAATGTGCATAAATTTAGGGATTTAAAATGTAAACCCCAAATCAACCATTTCCCTATTTTGAATTTCTATATCTTAATAATAATTACATCTATATAAAAAAAAGATATATTGTTAAAATGCATATGGGTTCCATTTTAAGGGGTTTATCTATAGTATATATAAAAGGTGAGATGAGGAGAAACTTCTATATACCATTTTTGCCCTTTCATTATAACTCTCTTCACTTTTCTTTTGATGGCAATTGTGTCATTTAAATACAAACTTTCTCTCTCTCAATTTATCTCTTCTCTCCGTCACGATCTCATCCCTCTAAATTCCCCTATTTTCTCTTACTAATCTTCTCTCTATTAATTATTCTTTCCTTAACTTTATCTTTCTCATTGATTTTTTTTAACTCCTTTCATCTACCACGTACCCTCTCCCAATCCTTTCATCTTCCTAACCCCCTTCCAATTATCACATACCCTCTCCTAATCCTTTTATCTTCCTAATCCCCTCCCAATCCATATATAAATATGTGTCCTCTCTTTTTGATGCCAACCAAAATGAGGTAGTGGATGGAACAAAGTGGAAAATTTTCCAAGTGGTGTGAAGGTATGAAGATTACTCTCTTGCTTTAGCAACGACAACAACAATGCACATATGGGTGATCGAGAGGAGAATTGATAGTGAAGAGAAACCAAATTAGAGCTGAGTTGATGACATCAGTTCACTTTTCCAAATTTATCATTGTTCAGATTGAAAGAAATTCTAGAGTACGATGTGTCAAGATGGTGGTCGATGGAATCGAGATAAAGCAAAATTCGGTTATTCTCATAATTTGGATAATAAGAATGGTTATGAGTTTGGTTTTTATTTATTTATTTTTTAAAGTGATGCTTTTGATTCATATATGTGAAATGTTATAATTATTTTTACAAAGTTAGGGCAAACAAACAATTTTTATCCCTCTCAATATCACCTTTTAGGGTTTACTCTTTCTCTCACTCTTACCTTTCTTTTTCATTCTAGAATGAACAAACTCAATGATTTAACGTCACACAATTTAACAAAGATAAAATGTAATATAATAATTTATAATCAAGAAAATTAGAGGTAAATTAAGAACGTTCATTCATTAAAAAAAAAAAACTTGCACGTCGGTGCTTTTTCATATTTCTTACACTTCAAATTTGTACTTACTTTCCATACTAATATTTCATCATCTTCTTTTATTACAACAATATCATACCTTGAATTTATATTTATATATAATCACTTTCTTTCTTTAAAATGATAATATTATAAACTTAAAAAACACTATTTATTTTACTTTAATTTAGAACTACAAGATTCTACGTGCAACGCACGTGTTTCTTACTAGTTTTAAGATAAAAGTATAAATTTTGTAGAATAAATTTATTTGTGTAATTACCATCTCTAAAAAGTCTGTCAAAGTACTCATCCCAAAATTGAAGAAGAAAATAAAAAGATGTCTCTTATTCGCATCTTCTCCACATCTCACAGAATGCTCAATTACTGCCACCACCAAGCCCAGGAACTTTCTTCGCCTTCTTCATCTCCAAAATCGGCCGGAAGAAAACCTCATTCACTTCTCCCATATCTCCCTTTTCATCGCTAGCTACCCTTTCTTATTTCAACACCTCACACGATTTTGGGTATCATTTTTGGAAAATACAATGTTGGAAATTTTTCATCTTTGTCCGATATGTTTAACTGGGGTCAGAGTTTTACCCTTGGAATTCAGTTTTTCGATCAGATTCAAGCTCTTTGGCACCTTCAATCAATCCATTGACCCATTTTTTTGGGACTAAAATTCTTTTAATTTTTCTATTTCATCCTCTATTTTATCAATTAGTTACTTATTTTAAAATCAAATTTTTTTAGTTTTCTAATTGATTTTGGATTATGGGTTTTTTTAGGCATTTCAAGTTCTGGATTTGTTGGCATTTCACCGTTGGAATGAATTTTCTTATCTTGGACTCTCCGGTTCCCTGAGAAGATCGTTGCTAGTGGCCATACATTTCATTCGTGATCGTTGTTGTGTCCGAAATTTCGACTTAGATTTTTCTTTCACCTTTTTATTTTTTTAATTATTTTTTTAATAATTTTAGGGTTTAATTTTATCTCGGGTGGGAGTTCAAGGGTTTAATTTTTACTATTGAAAGTTTAGGGGTCTAATTTTTTCATTTATGAAAGTTTGAGGGTTTATAATTTACCATTGAAAGTTTGGTTTAAATTGTAACAATTAATACTTAGTTTTTGCAATTTGTCCAATTTTTAATTAAAAAAAATCTTTAATCCAATTATAATCATTTTGAATTTGAATTTGACCTTCAAAATTTATTTACTTTGGTTCAATTCTAATTTATTTAATCTTGTTTGTAATTTTGTTTAAATTAACCAAATATTATTATTATTTAGATAAAAAACGTTTTATTTGAAAAATTTTGAAACTATCTCCTTTAAATTTTGTTTAATGATTGAATTCATAAAAATTAATCGAATGATTTTGGAAATTTATCCCTTTTATAAATAGATGTTAAGAATTTAAATTATTTGAACAAATAAATTAATAAATGGGTCCTTAAAATTAATTTTCAATTAAACCGTCTTCTTCTTATTGAACTTTCTCTCCCTCCTCCCTCTCGACTCTCGGTCTCACTCTCTCCACATCTTGCTCACGGTGGTGAAATTGGTTTGGTCACTGTGAGTCCACCAAGCTTTGTGGCTAAGGTGAAAGAATATCAAATAGATATTTGGTGAAAAATCTAAAAATTTCTTTTTATTCTCTCGTTTATATTCTCCAAAATCTACAAAGATAAGCATCTTCACGAATATAGGAAGAATAGAGCCGCAAACTAAACATTCACGGAACAAAAAAAAAAAAGTGCTTTCACGAGATGGAGTTGGGTTTGAACAGAAGAAGGGGGAAGAAAAATCTAAGCCTCCATTGCATTGTTTTCTCCATTAATTGAAGTGAGATTTTAGGAAAAAAAACAATAGCAGAAAAAATGGAGGGAGAAGGAGAGAGACATGAACAATAATTGCAAGAGGGTGGGAAGAAAAAATAGGAAGAAAGAGTGATTCGAAGAGGATCGAAAGAGGGGGCAAGGGTGACGTAAGAAAAAGTGTGAAAATGAGAAAAAGGACTATACAGTCCAATTTCTCTAATTATATAATTAGTAATAGAATTTCAAAACTTGTAAAATTTTAATAGTTATACAACTTTTTTTAACTTCTCCAACTATTTAAAGATCCTCCCTCTTTTACTTTTTTTTCTACAAAAAAATAAAATAAAAAGAGAGAAAAAAACTGATTGATAAATTGAGTGAGACAGAGATGAAATGATTCCAACCCCACAAGAGTTTCACGTCTAAGAGGATTCTCATGCTTCGCCTGCAAATACCTCTAAGGGAAATAATTTTCATTTGGCAGAGAATTCAGACCATTTTGTAATTCTAATAGCAAAGTATGAACTTTCTTGATAAATATTTTTCAGTTGTTTATTCATTAAAACAAAGTACTACCATCTCTAGGCCGATTACGAGACAGATAACAGCTGATCAATGGCAAAATCTCCAGTTCCATCATGATTTTCGACCTTTTGGTAATGAATGTATACTTTGTGCTGCATTAGAAAACAATGTATATCTCTGAACAGAGAAACATGTCAGGCCAAGCAGACTGCATACTTCCTCTCGAGCACGTTGATGGCTCCGGATCGATATACCTAGCTTTGAAAGCTTTGAGCACAACTGCAGAATCAAGCCTTCTTGGTGAAACACTGTTTTTACATTTCTTCGAAGCTCTCCTTCACAAGTAGTGTTATTTCACGTTTTGGAAGTCTCATGTCCCAAATACAAAGATACGACACAAGCAGCCAAATGTAATCACAAGGCAACCTCAGTATGTACTCAGTAAAATGAAACAGCAGGAATCAACATCAGCAGCATGTACATATATATATATATATATAAAGTAAAGGAGTCCAATAAAATCTCTTTTGCTTTTAGAGAACTGGAAGAAGCAAAAATCCTTCATCGTAATTTATAGACAAAAGCACCATCCAGCAGCAGAAGTTCAGCACATACTAGCAGTAGTAAGAGAATTATAGAGTTCCAAACGATGTTTTAGGAACTATTTTGTCTTCGAGATACTTAGATAATAGTACCGCCACCTCCAGTCTGATGAAGCATTGCATCAATCTCATCTCCATCCTCCATTTCCAGCTGTTGGTTACATAAACAACGTAAGGAAAAGAAATGAGAAAACGCCTTTTGTGTGTTAATTTGTGAGCACATATGAAAGGATGAGAGTACCTCTTCCGGAGTCTGCTCTGCACGCAGTCGGCGGCCGTCAAACAAGAACGCAATGGAGTTCAACTCAACCGATTGCCTGTCACAGTAAGCATTCATTAGCTTCTTCAGCTGGGTGCTCTTTTTGATCCGGAAGAAAACTTCATTCCCGTCCTACAAAACATCGGCAGCAGATAAGAGGATAAAACTAAATACACAAAGAACTTGCTAGATCACAATTTTAGCACAAGAAACTTTAAAAAGAGAATATTCACTGTAACAGTTGCATATGGTTCGAACCTCATCATTTAACGACAAGTCAAGCAAGCTTGTATTATTACTTTCAGTTCGTTTATTGAACCAATAATCAATGGCTTCATTAATTCACTTGGTAAAACTAGGCCATAGTGAGCCACATTCAGGCAGCCAAGCGTGACAATATCTCAACTTTCAGAGGGGGTTGTAGAAGAAAGTATGTTCGATCCCCTAAAGTAGAACATAGCTGACACCCAACATGGGGCACCTATAACGGACTGTCATAATGTCTTTGCTTATGTCCCATTCCACTCCACCCCAAGACAAAATTAGACATGAGGGTGCCAATACTAAGAGTAAGGCAAAAGTCATCAGTTCAACCAAGACACAGAATGTAGATTGACAGACTTTAGTGGCTTCTTATCACCTTATTATTATTATTATTTATTTTGATGGCCATTAAGGTCCGGGCAAACTTTAATAGCTTCTTTGCAGTTTAGGCACATCACGTAACAAGTGTTCTGTTGTTATCTTGTTTATGGTCGGACCAATTGGCTAGGGTTTGGAGCTTTTGGGCTTTGGGTGGGATTATAGTAAAAGTCTAGGGTTCCAAATTTTCAGTGGAAAGATTAACACTTGTGGTAGCTTGGAGCTAGCAGTGGGGCGATGCAAAGTCTCCCAATATATTAGTATGATGGGAACAGATGCCACAGGTATCAAGCAAAAACATACCGAATGTTTGAAGAATAATCAAATTGTTCACATCACATTCAGATTTCTCAAACACCTCAAGATCACAGCTAAACGTACCTTGCCAGTTGATACCACATCTGGTTATTCACCCAATGCAGAACACAGACCTTAGTAGTCCATCAAATTCATATAAAAGGAAAACCCAGTCACAATAATGCATGTAGTTCAAATAAACCTCCACACGGAAAATCTTGTCTATCAAGACTACGCGGTACCTCAATAGAAGCTCTCAAACTCACTATACGAAACAGAAGCCAGAATCCCTAGAATGATCGATCGGAGAAACCATGCAAATCCCTCTCACAACTCACAGAACAACATAACAAATGGATGGAAACAATTCAATATTACAGGCCCCTGCACCGCAATGCTAGATTCTCTCGACGAAATACCCTAAAGACGAACACCTAGTAGAAGAATCAAAACGACTAGGAACAGAAACGTAGAAATGAAACGAATGAAGAAGAAATCATGAAAAGAAGGGAAAAAAAGTTGTAAGCGGGAGGAACCTGGCCCTTGACTTTGAGGTTGATATGCGCCGACTGATCGGTAGGCTTCTTGTCCTCCTCCTGATTGGTGACACCCGACATTTTTTCAACTTCGAAACCGGAAAATTTCTTTGATTGATCTCCCCGATTTCCCAGCGAAAATCAAAGGGTTCGGAAAATCGCCAAGTTCTTCGTTTGGTTTTGCACTTTATGTGTCTCTTAGTGTCCAAGGGAAAGTGGGTGGACTTTTGGAGGTTCCAAATCAACGGTCACGATGCGTTCACTGATTCATTAATCCAACGGACTTGAATTGAGCATTATGGAATGAAGTCGCCTAGAAACGACGCAGTTTAAAATTCTTTGCGTTCATTTTTTTTCCTTTTCTTTTCTTTTTCTTTGCTTTTCGGTAAATAAATGCTTTTCAATAATTATTTTATACCATTTACGTTTTATCAAGATATATATTCCTAATTAAAAGGTGATGGATAGAAATCCCCACGATTGTACTAAAAATTAAATTCCTAACTCAAGTGTGGTCTAAGCTCAAGCTTTACAAGTATTTGAGTCGGGATTTGAGTCGACCCAACTACTAAAACTTAGGCCATAATCCAATCAATGATTTAGAGTTGTATCAAAGTTAAATTGACTTGACCAAAGCAAGCATAACTCAACGGTAATTAGTATATACCTCTAACTATGAGGTTGTGAGTTCGATTCTCACTCTCATATATTGTACTAAAAAGGAACTTGATTAGTATAATAAATTACTTTTTAATTATTAAAATTTATTTTTTAAAATATTTTTTCGAAACAAGCTTTTTGAAATTTTGAATTTATGTATTTATTTTATTCCTGGGTACACTTTTTGTTATTTTTAAAAACCGTTATTAAAAAAAAATTTATATCATATTTTTATAAGTTAAGTTATTTATTTTTAAAAAAATAAATTGAATTTTTGTTATTTTTTAAAATTACATTTATATTTCTTTTTATTATATTAAAATAAATAAAAGAATTCAATGAAGAGAAGAATGAGAATGGCAATAACAAATTTCAGCATTATTCTCTCTTCATCTCGTTTCATGGCTTTACTTCAAGAGAATCTTGTAATTATACATGATCGTGGAATTAGACCAGTTGTTACTCTCCTAATCTCGAAAGAGATCGGTGAAGTTCATTCAGATTATAAACTTTCTTAAATTTACCGTTCGTTTCTCATTCTTCTTCTTCAAATATGTCTTCTATTTACAACTTTATTCAATTATGTTTTTACATTATAAATATGAACTCAATTCTATTTTCCTAGCCTGGTTATGGGGAATTACTAATCTTTTAAAAAGAGGATAGCAATTATTTATCAATTTAAGTTGTTTTCCAAAGTTAATGAATTAATTTGGCTGATTAGTGAGTTAGCAATTTCAATACTGAAAAGTTTAAACTATTTCTTACAACTTAGTTGATTAATCGAGAAGAGGAATGTTTTAAATTTAAAGGTTCTGTTCAAATAGCATAGACATAGGACCTTGACCCTTTGATTGCAATTGGTTTTTGATAAACTAAGTTTGCTTCTAGTCTTCAACAGATAGTTTGGGTGGCTTGGGACTTCAAGAAAGGTTAAGAAGAATAATCGTGTTAAAGTGGGAGGGGGCATATTGCCTAGTTGTGGTCATTTATCATATTTTTAGTTAATTCAAAGTGAAGGGGTTGAGCTTTATTATTTCAGTAAACCAAAACTAAATCTATATATTTTCTCCATCGTTTTATGCATCAATTCAATTGCTCACTTTACTTTTTAAAGAAAAATATTTAGTCAGTATGGAGACGAACTTAGAAGTATTTCATAATTATTACTTGTGACGGGTGTGTACTTGCACTCGGAAATCTTTCTTGCTATTGCACTCGGAAATCTTTCTTGCTATTAAACGGAATCGATTAATAATAGACTTTAATCAAACAGTAACAACTTTAATTACTAAAAAAATCAGTGTTTACTAGTAAAAGCCCATTATCCTCACAAATGAGTTTAGCTCATATTTATTGTTAAATCAAATAAAAAGAGAAAAATGTTACAGCCCATCAAGTAGCAACGAAAAGGAAGGAGAAGAAATAGCTTGGATTTTTCGAGATAGCCACTATATAAAAGTCTTCCAATCTTTCTTTTTCAGCCTCTTTGTCTTCTTATTCTTCTCTGTCAAGTTCTCCTTCTTGCTAGTTTCTCTCCAAAAGGTCTAAATATTTTTTCTTTTTCTTCTTTGATTTCTTCTCTTTTATCTTTTGGGATTCCTCTCCTAGGAATTGATAATGAGAAGCAACCTTTGTTGAGAAGACCGGTAGCTCCCTCTTTATCTCAATGAACCGTCAAAAAAGGTATTACATGTATCTCTTCGAAAATGAGGAATGATTGTTACTTCTACAACCTTTTGTATTTCACCCCTTAACGGGCCGTTGCACATAATTTTGTATGTTATTGACCATTGTTTATGCAAGGATATGCACAACAGTGTATTTCAGATTGCAGCTCGAACTCGGCCTCCGGACCGATCTGAATACTTGGGCGGACCTGCACAAAAAGGTGAGCACTCCGACGATCAAGTCAGTATAGGTCGGATTCCCAGTTTAGTTCAAGGTCAGAAAATCATCGTACCTGATCGCGGAGTGAGGTCCTCTACTTATGGGTGGTAGTCTCGCTAATCTCGCGGCGGTTACACCCGGTAATCTCGGGACCGTCGGTTACACCGGTAATCTCGGGACCGACGATTACACCCGATAATCACGCCGCTGACAGTAGCTCACCTCGGCCCCCACCGAGCTCCTGGTATCGGACCTCGGCCAGGTTCACCTTGGCCCTC